TTTTGTTGTCTGAGGTCTTTGTTTTGAGAAAATAAATCAAGTTGTTGTAGCAGCTGCGGGGTCGTTCACCAGCGTGACACGAAGTCAAGACACTTTTCAGCACTTGGGAAAGATTTTTTTTTTTTCCATGTTTTTCTTTAAAAACTGTAAAATATATTTTATGCAGAATTTATAATGAGGAAAATTATTGTGTAATTTATTAAGTTCATGACTGTTTTTGAAATAAAATCTTGAATTTCGATGAAGTTTTAGGAGTTTTCATGGGGAAGTGCTCTCAGTCAGGGCAGTGTCAGTGCTGCCCTCCAGGGACAGCGTCCTGCTGCTCCCACATGCCCTGAGAAACCTTAGCAGTGAAGGTGAGGAAACATCATTACTTATCCATGACAGGGAAGTGTGGCCCTCATTTGCATGTTTTAATTAGCAGCGCTCAGGACGGAGGGATCTGCAGACTGGAAATGCTGTCAGTGAGTTTCTCTTGGAATTTCTTACACCCACAGCAAACCCCAGCCCAGCCCTGTGCAGCACCTCTGGATTCCTGTGCCAGGAATTCCCACCTGGAATGGGCACGTGCCCACCTGGCAGGAGCCTTGTGATTAGCTCAATGCAGTTTGGGTTTAGATTCACTTTTTTTAGGGGGTTAGAGACCTGTAGTAAAGGAGAAAGTTCCACTTTTGGATTAGTTCTAAGAGTGGTGATTTTAAATAGAGACACAACCTGAATTCTTTCCCCACAAATAGAAGAAAAGTAAATATATATATATATATATGTATACACACACTATATATGCTGAATTCCTTCCCCACAAAATGAAGAAAAGTAAACATACATATATATATATACACACACTATATATATATTATATATATGCTGTACTTCAAATATATTTAGCCCCGAGGGAGGGTGGGGAGGTGTGCAGGGAAATGCCCTGGTGCAGAAATGAGATCTAATTAAAGCCATGGGCTGGGAGAGCCCGGCCTCCGAGGTTGAGGCTCCGGCCTCCGAGGTTGAGGCTCCAGCCCCCGAGGTTGAGGCTCCAGCCCGCCCGTCCCCGCTCCCAGGGCTGGGACCTGGCCGGGTTGGTGGTTCTGCTTTGTTTTGGTTGGAGCAGAGCTCCCCTGGGGCTCTGGGGGCAGGCAGAGCCCTCGGGAGGTGCCCTCCCTGCGGGGGCACAGCCAGCCCGGCTCTGTGGGGCTTTTCCCTCTGCTCCCAGCCCGTGGGGCAGCGCTGGCTCCGGGCTTTGCATCCCTCCTGGGGCTTTGGGGATGGAGGGAGAACCAGTGTGATCCCCCCTGGTGAGTTGGGGATGGAGGGAGAACCAGTGTGATCCCTGCTGGGGCTTTGGGGATGGAGAGGAGAGCCAGTGTGATCCCTGCTGGGGCTTTGGGAATGGAGGGAGAACCAGTGTGATCCCTCCTGGTGCTTTGGGAATGGAAGGGAGAACCAGTGTGATCCCTCCTGGGGCTTTGGGAATGGAGGGAGAACCAGTGTGATCCCTGCTGGGGCTTTGGGGATGGAGAGGAGAACCAGTGTGGATATTTAAACACCGACTCCAGCGGGTGCTGCTGCCGGGGCTGCTCCGTTCCCCTTTCCTGCCAAGTGCAGTTTCTGTGCTGCGGCCCAAGCGAGGCACAGGGATGTGCCTGGAATGCCACAAACCATCCAGAGGGACACGGGGTGGGTGGGAACACCAGCCTGGGCTGCTGCAGGTGCTGCTCAGGAGCTCTGGAAGGGTTTTGGGGGAATCTGAAACCCCATTTTTAGGAGCAGGGAGGTGTCAAGTGAGCACCGCTGGAAGAGGAGCCCAGCCCGGGCTGCTCTTGTTCATTCCTTCACTCTCAGGTTTGGGATGGAAGCAGATGCAACCTAAAAACCTAAACGCCTTTGCAGCAGTGCTGGGTTCAGGCTTCCATCCTGACCCTGGGCTTGCTTCCCTCAGCCCGGCAGCTCCTGTCCCCGTCCCCCCCGGCTGTCCCTGTGCCCCCTAGTCCTCCCCTGCCGTGGCTCTGGAGCCTTTTGGGGTTGGAACATCCCCGGGAGCGCTCCCGCTCCGACCTGCACCGACACGCGGCTGCCTGCCTCGGCTGAGGCGCTGCTCTCGGATTGATTCGTGCCCCTTTGAACCCTTGAGGTTTTTAAACTCGTCCAACAAGCCTCCCAGCCCTGCCCTCTCCCGAGGAAAGCCCGAGCCTCGCTGGCTCCTCCCCGGGCGGTGGCGTTTGCCTTTCCCGTGAGGGAATCCAGGGGCAGACCGCAGAGCTGCCGAGGTTTCTCCATCCCTTGGCCTGATCCTGTTTGTTCCCCGTCCTCTCCAGATTTGCCCCGGTGCAGCCGCGTCCTGTACAGTGCTGCCTGCTGTGCCCCTCTCCTGTTTGTTAGAGCGGGGGTCTGTCCCTTCCTTGCTGTCACTGGGAGTTTTTTCCAGTGCCTGCAGAGCTCAAACAGGTCCTGGCACCTCTCACCCTGCCCAGGTTCCATTCAGCCCCGTTTTCGTCAGTCCTGGCCCCAGCCCCTTCCTGCCCCGCTGCCACCGGCCGGGAAGGGGCTGGGCACAGCCCCGGGCCCCCTTCCCGGCACCGGCTCCGGAGCAGCTCCTCAGGAAGGAACTGGGCTGGGGACACAGCGCTCGGGGACAGGTCCCCCCCTCATTCCGGGGCTTTGTCCCCCTGGAGCTGGGACCTGGCCGGGTTGGTGGTTCTGCTTTGTTTTGGTTGGAGCAGAGCTCCCCTGGGGCTCTGGGGGCAGGCAGAGCCCTCGGGAGGTGCCCTCCCTGCGGGGGCACAGCCAGCCCGGCTCTGTGGGGCTTTTCCCTCTGCTCCCAGCCCGTGGGGCAGCGCTGGCTCCGGGCTTTGCATCCCTCCTGGGGCTTTGGGGACGAAGGGAGAACCAGTGTGATCCCTCCTGGTGCTTTGGGAATGGAGGGAGAACCAGTGTGATCCCTCCTGGTGCTTTGGGAATGGAGGGAGAACCAGTGTGATCCCTCCTGGTGCTTTGGGAATGGAGGGAGAACCAGTGTGATCCCTCCTGGTGCTTTGGAATGGAAGGGAGAACCAGTGTGATCCCTCCTGGGGCTTTGGGGATGGAGGGAGAACCAGTGTGATCCCTGCTGGGGCTTTGGGGATGGAGAGGAGAACCAGTGTGGATATTTAAACACCGACTCCAGCGGGTGCTGCTGCCGGGGCTGCTCCGTTCCCCTTTCCTGCCAAGTGCAGTTTCTGTGCTGCGGCCCAAGCGAGGCACAGGGATGTGCCTGGAATGCCACAAACCATCCAGAGGGACACGGAGCGGGTGGGAACACCAGCCTGGGCTGCTGCAGGTGCTGCTCAGGAGCTCTGGAAGGGTTTTGGGGGAATCTGAAACCCCATTTTTAGGAGCAGGGAGGTGTCAAGTGAGCACCGCTGGAAGAGGAGCCCAGCCCGGGCTGCTCTTGTTCATTCCTTCACTCTCAGGTTTGGGATGGAAGCAGATGAAACCTAAAAACCTACAAGCCTTTGCAGCAGTGCTGGGTTCAGGCTTCCATCCTGACCCTGGGCTTGCTTCCCTCAGCCCGGCAGCTCCTGTCCCCGTCCCCCCCGGCTGTCCCTGTGCCCCCTAGTCCTCCCCTGCCGTGGCTCTGGAGCCTTTTGGGGTTGGAACATCCCCGGGAGCGCTCCCGCTCCGACCTGCACCGACACGCGGCTGCCTGCCTCGGCTGAGGCGCTGCTCTCGGATTGATTCGTGTCCCTTTGAACCCTTGAGGTTTTTAAACTCGTCCAACAAGCCTCCCAGCCCTGCCCTCTCCCGAGGAAAGCCCGAGCCTCGCTGGCTCCTCCCCGGGCGGTGGCGTTTGCCTTTCCCGTGAGGGAATCCAGGGGCAGACCGCAGAGCTGCCGAGGTTTCTCCATCCCTTGGCCTGATCCTGTTTGTTCCCCGTCCTCTCCAGATTTGCCCCGGTGCAGCCGCGTCCTGTACAGTGCTGCCTGGTGTGCCCCTCTCCTGTTTGTTAGAGCGGGGGTCTGTCCCTTCCTTGCTGTCACTGGGAGTTTTTTCCAGTGCCTGCAGAGCTCAAACAGGTCCTGGCTCCTCTCACCCTGCCCAGGTTCCATTTCAGCCCCGTTTTCGTCAGTCCTGGCCCCAGCCCCTTCCTGCCCCGCTGCCACCGGCCGGGAAGGGGCTGGGCACAGCCCCGGGCCCCCTTCCCGGCACCGGCTCCGGAGCAGCTCCTCAGGAAGGAACTGGGCTGGGGACACAGCGCTCGGGGACAGGTCCCCCCCTCATTCCGGGGCTTTGTCCCCCTGGAGCCTCCTCGGCGGCTGTGACCAGCCTGGCTGTGCCCCGGCTCCCCGTCCAAAGCGGCTGCCGGAGGGTGCAGGGGCTCTGCCTCCCCGGGGAGCTCCGGGGGCTTCCTCTGGCCCCTCTCCGAGGGTCCGGGAGCCCAGCCCGGGGGCAGCAGGTCCTTCCCCCTCTGCTCCAGTGCCACGTTCGCAGCCCCCCGGGCTGGGGATGGAGGGGGCCGGGATTGTCCCTGTGGGAGCACTCGGGAAGGGAAGAGGGCAGTGGTAAAAATAACCCCTGGGCCAGCTCCAGCCCATTGTGGCTTCCTGCGATTTACAGCCCTTCCCGGGGGAAGAGGCAGGAACCGGCCGGCTCGGGGCTGGCTTTGACCCTTTCACCGCCACCGGAGAAGGTGCCAGAAGGAACTTTCCTCCTTCCTTCCCGCCTGGGTGGGATCCTGGGGAGGGGGATTGTGGTGGGCTCCGGCTCCTGAGCTGCCCCCACACCCTGGGGTGGCTGTACAAGGAGAAGCTGCTGCAGTGGACCCGGATTCCCTGCCCCATTCCTGACCTGCCCCGTGCAGGGGAACAGAGAGACTCGGAGGCAAAAATCTCCGCTGCAGATCCCGAAACCCGGCCGGGTTCCCGTAAGGAAGCGCAGGGAGGAGAGGAGCTGCAGCAGGAGAGGGGTTAATGCTGGCCAGGGCCAGCGGCAGGGCTGTGAGGGAGGTCACGCTGGCAGGGGTTAATGGGTGGCTCTTCCTTTTCCTCATCCTCTATATGAGGCTGCTCCCGGCTCTGAGCTCAGTTTGCCGCGGCAGCCGGAGGGGCAGGAGCTGCGTGAGACTGGAGCATCCATCCCTGCATCCCATCCCTGCATCCCTGCGTGGGCTCAGGTGAGCGAGAGCATCCCCCACCGGCCTGGCACGGGTCCTGGCACGGTCCTGGCCCGGTCCTGGCTGCGGGGCTGGGCTGGGGAGGGTGAGGGTCCCAGCCCGGGAGCACAGGGCCAGGCACACCGTGTGCCTCAGTTTCCCCCATGTACTGCGGGGTGGGTGCGGTGTGGAGCCCGTGGGCTGCGTGTGGAGCTGCGTGGCAGCGGCTTCCTGGGCTGTTTGCTCCCGTGAGCTCTGCTCTGCCCGGCCCCGTGTCCCTGCTCTCACCCGGGGCTGGTTCCGTGCCCTCGGCACACGGAGAAAGGGAGAACCTTCCCTCCCAGCCCAGCCTGGCTGTGTGGGGCACGGCTCGGGGACCCCCCAGCCCCGGGGCAGCTCGCCAGCTCTCCTGAGCTCGGCTTTGTTCTGCCGCTCGGGAAGACAAGGCGGCGGCCGGCTCCGCTATTTTTTCCGGTTGGAAGGCGCTCCTGGGATGCGGGCGAAGCCGGCGGATGCTCGGCGCTTCTCCCTTCCTGCCCGGGGCTGTTCCTGCCCCGGCTGCCAGGACTCGCTGTCCGTGTGGCCTTGAGGGCACCCTCAGCTCTGCTTCAGCCCCATCCTCCTCCTCCTCACCGCTGCATCCTCGGGGCTGACCCTGACTCTCCTCTCTCCTCCGGGGCTGAATCCAGGAGCCGAGCGAAGCTCCAGGACCCTCCTGGGCGGCCACATCAGCCCTGCCCGGCCCCTCCGGAGGGCGCAGAGCGATCAGCATCGATTAGCATCGATCGGCAGTGATCAGCATCATCATCAGCGATCAGGATCAGCAGTGATCAGCAGCGATCAGGATCAGTAGTGATAGCAGCGATCAGCAGCGATCAGCAGGGACCAGCAGAGATCAGCATCGATCAGCATCGATCAGCAGCGATCAGCAGCGATCCGCAGGGACCAGCAGCGCCGTTCCGGGGCCATGGTGCCCTTGGGCAGCCCCACTCTCGCCGTGTGCGCCTCCAGCAACCTGCGCCTCATGGCCCCCGGCCGCGGCTCCCCCCTGGCCTGGCTGAACCGGGGTCCCGAGTGCCCGCAGGGCCCGGGGGGCAGCGGGGGCCGCCGAGCCAGCGCCGTGGAGCGGCTGGAGGCCGACAAGGCCAAGTACGTGAAGTCGCAGCAGGTGATCAGCCGGCGGCAGGAGCCGGCGCTGCGGGGCTCGCCGCGGCTGTCCCCGCACGGGCGGCGCCGGCTGGCCCGGCAGCAGTGCTCCGAGCTGTGCCCCGGCTCCGAGCTGCCGGGCCCGCCGTCCCCCGTGTCCCGCCGCAGCGGCAGCCGGCGCCTGCTGCGACCCGACTCGCTCGTCATCTACCGGCAGAAGCGGGACTGCCTGGCCGGCGACAAGGAGAACACCAAGGGCTCCGGGCTGGTGCGGCGCCTCTTCCAGGGACCCCTCCGAGCCGCGCCGCCCAGCTCGCCCCCCGCCCGGCCGCTGGGCGAGGGTCCCGGCGCCCCCCAAAGCCCCGAGACCCCCATGCTGTGGGCGCCAGCCGAGAAGGAGGCGGCGCGGACACCGGGAGGGGACAGCAGCGGTGACAGCGGCGGCGTCTCGGCGGTGCCCGCGGAGCAGCCGCCCGGTGTCCCCGGGAAGGAGCCGCTGGCGCTGCGAGTGTCGCTGCCGCTGTCGGAGCAGGAGCGCTTCTTCAACTACTGCGGGCTGGACCGGGCGCAGGTGGAGCTGCTGGGCCGGGAGCGCTTCGGGCCCGCGGGCTGGGACAGCGCCTCGGCCCGGCCCGGCTCCTGCGAGTCCGAGCCCGGGAGAGCCTCGGGGGGCAGCGAGGGGGACGCGGGGCCGGGCACGGAGGAGGAGCCGGACGCGCGGCCGGGCTCCGCCGTGTCGGTGGTGGAACGCAACGCCCGTGTCATCAAGTGGCTCTACGGCTGCCAGAGAGCCTGGGCGGCTGCCAAGGAGTCCACGGTGTGAACGGGGACCTCACCGGGACCGGGACACCCGCGTGGCTCCCGCTGGCTGCACCGGGCCCCTCGCCCTCGAGGGATGTGTTTGAGGGGCACCCGTGGCCCTGGTGGCACCTGTGGCCCTGGTGGCACTCGTGGCCCCGGTGGCACCCATGGCCCCGGAGGCACCCGTGGCCCCCGTGCCCTGGGGTGCTGCGGGCTGGGAGCTCTGCCAGGTGCTCTGGCTGAGCGTGGTGGGGGCACCTGAGGGCAGGTGGGGAAGGGCCACCCCCGGGTGAGTCCCCGTGGGCTCAGGGCTGGCAGGCTGCTGTCCCCCTGCTGTCCCCCATCTTCCTCCCTGTCCCAGGAGGGTGGGATGAGCACACAGCCCCCAGTGACCCCCCAAGTCCTGCTCCAGCTGCAGGCTGGGGGTGGGCAGAGCCCGAGCCCCCTGTGGTGGGCAGTACCCACCCCTCAGCCCCCTCCTCCCCAGAACAGGGGCTGCTGGGGCCAGAGCTGCCCTCAATAAATCTGTTTGGGTGTTTTTTTCTAGCCTGGCATGTGTGTGGCTGTGGGGGGGATGCCCCAGGGCTGGGGGGCAGCTCCCCCTCCCCACCCTCGGGGGCCGAGGGGCTGTTGGGGGGCGAGGGCAAGGAAAGCAGCAGGCAGAGCTCAGGGAAAAGGGGAACCTTCGGGGTCTTTGGTTCAGCTGTGACCCCCCAAACCCAGGGCAGAGCCGCAAATAACTTCTGGCGAGTCCGGCCGCTGCACCCTCCTCTAGTTGCCCTTGGGGGCGTTTTTATTCCGGATTTCGGCCAGCTTGCCGGCCAGGAAGCCCCAGTGGAAGGCTCCTTCCTCCGGCTCCCGCAGGTCGCTGCCGTCGTCACCCGGCGGCTCCCCCGGGCTCTCGGCCGGCTCCGGGGGGGGCCCCCCCTTGTCCGGCCCCGGCGCCTGCTGCCACTTGGATGCAAAGAGATCCCAAAAGCCGGGAGCCTTCTCGGTGTGGGGCACCTCGGCCGGCTCGGTGGCCAGAGGGCTGGGGACAGAGAGGGGACGGAAATGTCGTGCAGGGACAAGGCCAAGCCCGCCGTGCCCCCCTCCCTGCCGGCTCTCCCCCCGCGCAGCCGGGGAGGGGGATGAAGGCGATGGGGTGAGGATATGGGAGCTGGGCAGTTCCCGGGGGTCGGATCGGGGTTCTGGGGTCCCCCCCCCAGATCTGTAACTTACTGGTCTGGGCAGGGCTCCGGGCTGAGCAGCTGGTGCTCGTCCTCGCGGCTGAAGAGGGACGAAAGCGTCCGCCAGCCGCGGGCACCCACCCCCTGCACCTGCGGGGGGCAGCGCCGGGGTCACCGGGCACCTCCTGCTGCCCGTGTCCCACGGCCCCGCTGCCCCCAGCCCCCTCCTCACCTTCCGGGCCAGCTGCGACACGGGGCTGGCTCCCTCCTCCAGCAGCGCTGGGGGCTCGGCCGTCTCCATCAGCTCGGGGGGCTCTCCCTGCAACGAAGCCCCCGGTGAGGGCAGGGCTGCCGGCGGGGGGGGTGGGCAGGGAGGTTGGTCAGCCCGTTTTGGGGACCCCCGACCCTACCTCGTCCTGCAGGGCCCCGTCGGGCCGCGGCCCCCCCAGGCTCTGCAGCACCTTGGCCTTGTAGAGCCGCCAGAAGCCCTGGGCCATGGCGGGGCTCGGGGGGCCGCAGCCGGCGGAGCCGCGGGCAGCGGGGCGGGACGAACGGGCGACCCGGCGATCCGGTGGCTTCATTAAAGTTTCAGCGGCCGCTTGCACGGCACAAAAGGAATCTGAGCCCGGGCCCGGGCGGGGGCAGCGCGGGGGCGGCTCCTCCGCTCACCCCCAAAAGCCATCCCGAGCCCCCCGCCACAGCCCCCGCTGCCCCTGGCCCACTTGGGACCCCCAGGGCTGGGACACCCCCGCGTGGGGCAGAGGAGGCGCTGGAGCTCCGCGCTCCCCCCGCCGCGTGTCCCCATCTATAATTGATCACGGGCGAAACGCGATCGGCACCGGGAGGCGGCGGGACGCGCCGAGCCCTGCCCGCTCCTGGCAGCGGTGACCGGGGCAGCGCGGGGACACGGGGGAGCGCGGCGGGGACGGTGGCAGCGGGGGCTGGGGGCCGCAGGGCACGGGAACATCCCGGGACCGTCCCGGGACCGTCCCGGTGACACCGGGCCGAGGGGGCGGGGCCTGGCGGGTCTGGGCGTGGCTTACACGGATGGGCGTGGCCATGAATAGCACTCGCTGTTTGTGGGCGGGGCGTGCGGCGATGTGGGCGGGGCCCGCAGCCCCCGCGCCTGCGCAGTGCGGCGCGGCGCGGCGTGCGGCCGCCATGTCGCCGCGGAGCGGGCGGCGCACCGGGGCGCACCGGGCGCACTCGCTGGCCCGGCAGCTCAAGACGAAGCGGCGCCGGCGCGACCTGGACGAGATCCACGTGGACCTGAAGCCCGAGAACGCCGCGCGGCTGCTGCGGCAGGAGATCGACCCCGACCTGCCGGGCTGCGCCCAGTTCTACTGCCTGCACTGCGCGTGCGTGCGGCGGGCACACCGGGGCACACCGGGGGGATCCCGGGGCTCCGGGGGATCCTGGGGCTCGGGGGGATGGATCCAACCTTGGCATGGGCTTGTCCTGGTCCTGGGCTTCCCGGGGGAGGTGGGGGAGTTGTCCCGGTCCCTGAGGTTCCTGGGATGGGGTCCTGGGGGGGGGTGCTCAGATCCTGGGGGTCCCCTGGGAGGGGGTGCTCAGATCCTGGGGGTCCCCTGGGAAGGGATGCTCAGATCCTGGGGGTCCCCTGGGAGGGGGTGCTCAGATCCTGGGGGTCCCCTGGGAAGGGATGCTCAGATCCTGGGGGTCCCCTGGGAGGGGGTGCTCAGATCCTGGGGGTCCCCTGGGAGGGGATGCTCAGATCCTGGGGGTCCCCTGGGAGGGGGTGCTCAGGCCTGGGGGTCCCTGTCCCCTGGCCAGAGGGCTCTGACCCCTCGGGAGTACCTTGTCCTGCTCTCAGGGTGACCCCAGGCCCCTGCAGGGTTGTGGTGGGACCCTGGCCCCTCGGCAGGACCCTCCCCAGCCCCCCTTCAGTCTCGGGGTCCCCCTGACCCCCATCCTTTCCCACCCCAGGCGCTACTTCGTGGACCTGAACAGCATGAAGGAGCACTTCAGATCCAAAGTGCACAAGAAGAGGTGAGGGCTGGGGGGCCAGACCCCAAACTCCCCGGGGTGAGGGGCGGCAGGGGCAGCTCTGGGCAGGTCCTGCGGGGAGGGGCAGCTGGAACCTTGGCCCCCCGTGTGCCCCCAGGCTGAAGCAGCTGCGGGAGGCTCCGTACACGCAGGAGGAGGCCGAGCGCGCCGCTGGCATGGGCTCCTACGTGCCCCCACAGAAGGTGGAGGTGCAGACCCAGCCCCTGGAGGAGGTCACCGACATGGAGACGTCGGGCTGAGCGCAGGGACGCGGGACTGAGAGGCTCAGGGGCTCTGTAAGGACGCCTTTGTGCTCAGCTCTGTGAGAAAAGCGTGTCCCAGCACTGGAGCCAAATCCCTGCTGCTCCCACAGCCCCCCTGGCCGGGCAGTGACGAGGAGAAGGAGCCTGGGTGGCCTCCCCGAGTGTCCCCTCCTGCAGAAAGGGACACGCTGCTTGTTCTCTGAGTGCTGCTGGCACTGCACACTTGTGTGCCTGCTTGTGGAGCAGCTTCTGTCCTTGGCTCACAGCTTATTCCACCCATTAAAATACACAAACTGACAGTGTGGCAGTGTTGAGTATGAGGGTGGCAGTCCCCACAAGGGGTGGGGGACACCTCGGTGTTGTTTTCTTCCCCATGACCCAAAGGTGTCCTTGCCAGGAGCCTCATCCTGGAGCTCTGGCCTGGCAGGGTGGGAAAATTCCCTCTGCCCTCCTGGCAGGGAGTTCCCAGGCAGCTTTTTGTCTTTTTGTGGGGAGTGTGAGCTTGAGTGACCTCTTCATGGAGCACTTGGGTTTGCTGGTTTGGGCCTCGAGGGGGGAGTCCTTGGTGAGGACACCTTGAGGCTCCTGTCCCCAAAAACTCAACTCCTGCAAGTGATTTCATGCTCCTGGAGGGCCGGGCTGAGTGGGGATCAGCCTCCCTGCATTCCTGCTGGTGCCCCTGAGGGGACACTGAGTGACAATGCCACCGAATTCCTGCGCAGTTCTTGTCCCCATTCATCCCTCCCGTGTCCCCATTCATCCCTCCCGCCCAGCCGGGGCCTGGGGCCGTGCTGGGAAGGGCAGACAGAGCAGTGACACAGCTGTGCTGGGTAGGGAAGGGTTTATTTCCACGCAGCCTGCCCGGATTTGTGTCCCCAGGCTCCGGGGGAGGGAGAGCCGCAGCTCTGCGGGGGCTGGGAAGGCTGCAGCCGCCATCCCAGCGGGATGTGCCTGCCCAGGGACGCGGGATGTGCCCAGGGATGTGGGATGTGCCCAGGGACGCGGGATGTGCCCAAGGACACGTCACCACCCCCGTGTCCCCCCTGCCCGTTACCTAACAGCGCGGCGCTGGCCTGGTTCCCGCGGGGCTGCGGCCGCAGCACGTTCCCTGGGGACAGGGGGGCTCTGTGGCCACCAGCGGGGTCCCCAGCCCCCTCTGCTCCCATGGGGGATGGGGAGGGATGCAGCTCCCGGCTCTGCCGTCCCTCTGTCTGTCCGTCTGTCCGTCCGGCCTCTGCTCTGGTGGCCGCACGCCGATGTCCCCGCGTGGCTCGGGCCGGGCTCAGCCGGCAGCTCCGGAGCCGGGAGCGGCTTCTCCGTTCTCCATCGCGGCTGCCGAGGCGGGGGCAGGCGGGGACAGGCGTGTGCCCCGTCCCCAGGGCATCCGTGGCGGTGGCGAGGGCTGGATGTGGCGCAGGTCAGCTGCAAAGCAGCCGCGGCTCCGCTGGGGCGGGGAGGGGACCCCAACACCCCCCGGGACTGTCCCCAGGGCCCCCCCAGCCCCCTCCTCACGGCTCCGGGGGGGCCTTGGCGGGGTCAGCCATTCTCCGGGCGCTGTAGAGGGACAGGCAGAGCCCGGTGGCCGCCAGCAGCAGGGCCAGGGGGGTCAGCAGCCGCCCCCCGGGCTCAGCCCCACGTCCCGCTGCCAGCTGCATCTGTGGGGACACAGAGAGCACCGGGGAGCACCCCGAACCCCACGGGGAGAGGGGCCCGGAATGCCCCCATCACACTGGGGGCTGTAAAGGCAACGGGGGCAGCTTTGTGCCTCTCTGGGTGTCTCAGGAGGGTTTTTAGGGCGCTCCCTACAGCACTTGTGGGCCTGCATCGGCACCATCGTGGCTGCCAATGTGGAGCCGGGCTGCAGCCGGGCATGGCTCCCGTGGTCGGCAGGTCTGGTGGGCAGCAGCTCCCCGGGGCTCCCCGGGGCTCCCCCGGCCCTGCTCCCCCTTACCTGGAGCAGTCGGAAGTAGCCCGGGGTCAGGCGTCGGGGCCGGATGATCATGGCGAGGCGAGGAGCAGCGGGGCTGGGACCCCCCGAGCCCCCGAGCACGGCGAGGGGCTCGGTGCGTGCCGGCGGCCCCGGGGCCCCGCGGGCAGGGCGCGGGCACCGGGCGGGCGCGGAGCAGCGGCTGTCAGCCGCGATCAGCGCCCGCTGCTCCCCGGAGCGGACACGCCGGGCGGGGGGGCAGCGCCGGCCCGGGGTGGATCTGGGGGGGCTGAAGGGCTGGGCTTAACCATGGGCGAACCCCTCTGCAGCCCTGTGGGGCTGCCTCAGTTTCCCCACTTGTAAAGGGGTGTGAGTTATGTTTTGGGCGGGGGGGGGGGTGACACCCCAAGGGGGGGGGGGGGGGGGGGGGGGGGGGGGGGGGGGGGGGGGGGGGGGGGGGGGGGGCATGACACCCCAAAACCTCCAGGGGCTTCTCTCAGGTTTTTCTGGGGGTCTCTGTGCCCTAACTTTGCACCCACAGGGCACCTGGGGGTGTCCCACTGGCGTCACAAGCGCTGTCGGGCCTCAGCCCTCGCTGCCTGCAGCGCCTGGGGGGTGACACCGGGTGTCACTTCCCGAGGCTTCCAGCGGCCGTGTGTCACCGTCCGGGCGGTGACTCACCGGAGCCTCGCCCCACGGCACCGTCCCGGACAGGCGGGCACGGCTCTGAGCGGCACCCGGGAGCGCCAATGGGGCCGCGGCTGCCGGCGCAGGTGGGAGCCGCGCCCGGCGCAGGTGAGAGCCGCCGCCGTTCCGGGCCCGCCGCCGCTCCGGGCCCGCCGCCATGGAGCCCGTGCGCTCCTGGGGCCCCGCAGAGGCTGCCGCCTGGCTCCGAGGTGAGTCCCCGGTTGTCCTCGGGCTCTGGGGTGCGGTGTCCCCAGCTTGGGGACATGTGGCTGGGAGTGGCAGCACTTCCCGTGCCTCTGCTCCTCCCCGGTTGGCATTCCCGGGGGGGCGGGAAGGGGTCTGCCCGTTCCCACCGTTTAGGCTGAGGTCGGGTGAGCTCGTTGCGTGGAGAGGAGCCGCCCGTCAGCCAGGGGTCACCCCTGGGGTCACCCGGCCAGGGGCCAGCGGGGACACTGCCAGGGGGGACTGATCTGTGGCAGGGCTGGACGCGGCCGTGCAGGGGTACCCCTTCGAGGCCTGGGGGCTCTCGGGGCCTGACCTGCTGGGGCTGGACGCGGGGGTCCTGGAGGCTCTGGGCGTGTGGCCCTTGGGACACCAGGAGCTGCTGCTGGAGGCCCTGGAGCAGCTCCGTAACCTGGTGAGTGCTGGGGGCTGCGGGATCCCGGGGAGGAACAGGGGGACATGGGGGTTCCCCGGGCTGAAGGACGAGGATGTGGGGTCACCCTGGGCTGGGTGGAAGGGGGCAGGTGGGGTCACCTTGCACTGGATGGAGGTGGGGACACAGGGGCACCCTGGGCTCAGTGGAGAGGGGTTCTGAGGAGACCCTGAGCTGGGCAGAGGGAAGGACATGGGGACACCGTGGCCTGGGTGAAGGTGCCACCCTGCCTGTCCATCCCTTGGCACCCATGTCCCCCCAGGACACAAGGCTGGTGAGCACCAGCCTGAGGACACTGACGGAGAGGCTGCAGGAGCTGGCACGGGGCATCCAGAGCCTGGTGCAGGGGGGGCTGTCAGCAGGGGATGCCCCCCAGCCGCCTTCCCTCACCCTCCTGGCCCGAGTCATCCACCTGGTCGGGGCTGCCAAGGAACTCTTCTCCTGGCTCAACAGGTCTGGGGCAGGTGAGGGCACCCCTGGCTGCTGGGTGCCCCCCGCTCCGGGGGCTGAGCTCTGTCTTTTCCCCCCAGGTACCTCTTCTCCACCCTCAACGACTTTTCGGCCAGCCGGGACATCGTCCTGCTGTGTGCCCAGCTGGCAGAGACGCTGCAGGCGGTGAGTGCCCGGGGCTGGCTGCTCTCCTGACCCCCAGGGCTCTGCTGGCTGGAGGTGGGGTGAGGGGACATGGGGTGCCGGGGGTTCCTCACAGGGACCCCCCAGCTGGGATGGAGCCACCCCATCGTGTCCATCCCACATTCTGTCCCCCAGGACCTTCCTGCGGCCGAGAGGAACAGCAGCATCCTGCAGATTGTGAGTGCTGGGTGAGGAGGGGGTGGCAGGCCCGGGGGGCTGCCAGGGCCCCCCTCACCCCCTGCTGTCACCCACAGTGCCAGCACATCGAGGGCATCTGTGAGAGCATCGTGGGCTGCAGCCCCCCGGCGCTGCTGGACCGCAGGGCTGTGCTGCAGCGTGTGGGGCTGGCGCTGCTGCCCGGCCCACAGGGCAGCCCCCCAGTGTCCCCCAGCACCCCAACACTGCCCCTTGGCCTGCAGCAGAGCCCCCCAGCATCCCCTGACACGCCAACGCTGCCCCTCAGCCAATGGAGCAGCCCCCCAGGATCCCCTGACACCCCAACAGCACCCTCGGATCTTCTGGGGAGCCCCCAGCCACTCCTCACCGCCCGACTGGTGAGTCCCCTCCACCCCAGTGCCCCCCTCTGCCTCGGGACCCCCAGCCCCTGCTCAATCCCCCATCTTGGTCCCCCCAGGGCTTTGAGATCACCTCCACCAGCTCCTGCCTGCACTTCGTGTCTGCCACCACCCCAGAGGTGAGTGAGGGGCCCTGTCACCCCCTGCCCCTCAGTCACCCCCTTTTATGTGGGGAACACCCCCATCCACGGGATCTGGATTAGGGCCCTAATCTGCCCTCCCCTGACCCAGAGCAGGGGGGGCTGCCTGTGGCTGAGCCCATGCAACTCATCCCACAAGTGAGCACAGCCTGGGTGTGGGGAGCCCCCTCTGCACCCCGAGCCCAGCAGCAGCTCCGGGGGTGCTGTGCAAGGTCGGGTTAATGGTGAACCCCCCTGGTTCTCCCTGGCTGGGAGAGATCCTGAGTGGGGTTAGCTTGGCAGGGAGGGAGGGAAAGAACCCAGGACTGGGCACCCCATTGTGCCCCCTCTCTGCCCAGGCCCTGGCTGCCCACGGGGGCCACATCCTGCCCGGAGATGAGATCGTGCAGGTCAACGAGCAGGTCGTGGTGAGTCTGGGACAGGGGCTCCAGGGTGCTGCTGGGTTTGGCAGGGAGGACTTGGGCTCAGGTGGGGGGACGCAGGAGTTAGGAGCAGCAAAAAGCAGGAACCATGGCTGGGAAAGGTCTGGGGGACACAGGAGCCACTGCCAGGAGGATTTGGGGGATGTGGGATCTTTGGCTGGGGTGGGTTTGGGGCATGAAGCATCTGTGGGGCTGGGGCAGTGGCCCACAGCTCAGCCAGGATTTGCAGGTGGGTTGGACACCTGTCAGCCTGGCGAGGAAGCTGCTGGAGAATGGGAACAGGGTGACTTTGGTGCTGAAGAAGATCCCCCTCGACCTGCCTGGCTCACCCCCCTCTCCCACGCAGCAGGTTAGTGATCCCAGTGCTCCCAGTCCAGCCCCAGTGCCACACTGGGAATCAGGCAGAGGTGCTCAGAGCTGGGCATCTCCCATCACCCTGGAGATTCCTAAAGCTCTGGGCTCCATGGTGGGATGGGGCTGGCACTGACGCTCCATCCACAGCCCCCAGGAGCATTTTTGGATGCTGCAGATTCCCCTGGCACCAGGAGTGGTGAGAGCCCGGGCAGCCCCGTGTCCCTGACCTCCAGGTGAGCCCCATCCCGACACCAACACCCCCAGTCTGGCCAGCAAGGAGATGTTTGGGTGCATCCAGGGCCCTTTCCCAGCCCTTTTTTAGGGGAGAGGTGCCAGCTGTGAAGCAGCTGCCTGTGAGCAGCCCGGCAAGCTGACAGGAGTCTTAAGGAATGACAAAACGAGCAGTTTGTAATTCATTCACTTGGTAACGTTTTAGTGGGGTTGGAGCTATATTTAGCCATGACCCTTCTCCCCTCCCGGAATGGAAAGGCGTGCGGAGAGCCAGCGGCAGCAGCCGAGCTGGGCAGGCCGGGGGAACTGAGCTGGAGCTCTGGCACCGCGTCCCTGCAGCCCCTTCCCGGGGCAGGGAGCGCCGGGGTGCCCCAGCCCGAGGGGGATCAGGGACCCCGCAGCTCGGGGGCTCAGGGGTCCCGTTTTCCTCGCAGCGTCGCGGCCGACTTGGACTCGGGACCAGAGTCTGTCCCGGATCCCGTCACTGACGAGGAGCAGGAAGAGGACGAGCGGGATCTGCGGCTGCCCGGGGCAGCTGTGGAGGAGCTGTCTGCACAGGGTAGGATGGGAGCAGAGGGCGGCGGGGGATGGAGCACTTCCCCCCAGGACACGAGGCTGCAGCCCCGCTCGCTGTTCACAGGTGCTGCAGAGGAGGTGTGGGACAGTGGCAGCGCCCTGGGAACCCCCCTGGACACCCGCCTGGGCACCCCCCCGAGCACCCCTGCTGCCACTGAGCCCTGTGCCACAGAGCTGAGCCCCAGGGCAGCCCCTGCCACGGGGGCTGGGGGAGCAGAGCCCAGCCCTGAAGAGGTGAGAGCTGAGGGGACACACTGGGGGGGTGTCAGAGGTTCCCCTGCTGTGAGTGTGTGAATTGGGGGTCCATACGGGGGTCCCTAAGGGCTGTGGTGCTGTGGGGGTCTGAGCAAACACTGCCCTGCCCTCACCCCCTGCGCTGTCACTAACATCTCATCTGTCCCCCTCCCAGGGCAGCCCCAGCACGGGACGCAGACCTAAAGGTGAGCAGAGCCCTGCCAGGCCGGGCTGGGGGCTGTCCCGGGGGGCTCTGCTCCCCTGCCCTGCCCTGACACCCCCGAGGCTGTGGTGCAGGAGTGGCCACCAGGCTGAGCCGGCGGCGGGTCTCGTGCCGGGACCTGGGCCGGGTGGACTGCGACGGGTGGCTCCTCAAGAAGAAGGAGCACGTGGGCTTCATGGCCCAGAAGTGGAAGCGCTGCTGGTGTGTGCTCAAGGGCCACACGCTCTACTGGTACAATCACCCCAACGTGAGTGGGGGCACGGGGTGTCACTGTCCCTGCCTGGGCACCTGGCATTTCCTGGTGCCTGACACGGCTGTCCCTGTCCCCGCAGGATGAGAGGGCTGCAGGACTCATCAACGTGGCCACCTACAACCTGGAGAGCACAAGGGAGCAAAAGAAGAAATAGTGAGTGGGGTCTGGCTCACTTTCACCCCCAGCTGCTGGTGGAAGAGGGGGGGGATGCTGTGCCAAGGCCACGTGCTGACGTGTCCTGCTGGGAGCCACCTGCATGTCCCCACGGGGCTGCTGAGGTCCCCATGGGGCTGGTGATGTCCCCACAGGCCTGCTGGGGTTTCCATGGGGCTAGCAAGGTCCCCACAGTGCTGTTGGGGTTCCTATGGGGCTGCTGAGGTCCCCACAGGGCTGCTGGGGTTCCTATAGGGCTGCTGAGGTCCCCACAGGGCTATTGGGGTTTCCATGGGGCTGGTGATGTCCCCACAAGGCTGCAGAGGTCCCCACAGGGCTGGTGATGTCCCCACAGGGCTGCTGGGGTCCCCACAGGGCTGGTGATGTCCCCACAGGGCTGTTGGGGTTTCTGTGGGGCTGGTGATGTCCCCACAGGGCTGGCAGCTGTGTGAGCAAGGCCTGCACTGTGTTGCTGGGGTTATCTGGATGAGGCTGAGGACTGGAGCTGGGTGGGTGGGGGGTTGGAGGGGGCTCGGGGCTGGCCCTGTGTCACCACAGCAGCACAGGCAGCCAGCCCCTTGTCCTCAGCGTGTTCCAGCTGTGCCACCAGACATACAAGCCCTTTGTCTTTGCTGCTGAAACCTTGGCTGACCTGAGCATGTGAGTAACAGGCCCGATGGTCAGCACTGGCCCCAGCAGCCCGGGCTGGCCGGGAGCCTCCTCCCCCTGTGTGTCCATCCTTTCCCTCCCCAGGTGGGTCAGTCGCCTGGTAACAGCCAAAACCAAGTACACGCTGGCCCACCAGGCAGTCCCAGACAAGGAGGAAGGTAATGAGGCCACCCCGGGCTGGGGGTCGGTGGCAGGGGGTCCCCATGGGGCAGTGGTGCCTGTGCCACAGCCCCGGCGTGGCACGGCTGGGAGCTGGGCCCAGGGTTTGGGGGAGTGTGACAAACGCTCCCTGAGGGGCAGCTGGGATCATTCCCAGCCCTGGGAGGGAATTTCTGTCTTCTCCCATGGGCTCCAGACTGCTACAGTGAGACAGAAGCTGAGGACCCCGATGAGGAGTCCCCCAGGCACGGATCTGACTCGGTGAGTGGCCCTGGGGGACACCCTGGGGACAGAGGGACAGAGTTCCTCGTGTCACCTGCTGCCCCATCTCTCCCTCAGCCAAGGAAGAGGCTGCAGAACACCCCGGAGAAGGCACAGCTCTCCCCAGCCAGCAGTGCAGCCAGCAGCCCCCGGCCCTGCTCCCCCATGGGTAGGTGCAGGGGAGGGGGGACACCTGACCCCCTGTCACCTTGTGTCCCTCCCTTTTGCTTCTGGCTGTGTTTGGGTGTGAACCATCTGGGGATGAAGGAGCCTACAGGAAAGATGGAGAGAGATTTTTTTTATTTTTTTTTTATGAGGGCACAGAGTGACAGGGCAAGGGGGGATGGATTTAAACTAAAAAGAGCAGGTTTAGATTGGTTTAGATTGGTTTAGAAGGACAGTCTTCCCTGTGAGAGTGCTGAGGCCCTGGCACAGGTGCCCAGAGCAGCTGTGGCTGCCCCTGCATCCCTGGCAGTGCCCAAGGCCAGGCTGGATGGAGCTTGGAGCAGCCTGGCACAGTGAAAGGCATCCCTGCCATGGCAGGGGGTGCAACAAGATGACCTTTAACGTCCCTTCCGAGCCAAACCACTCCACAATCCCACGCCTTTGGAGCACGGGGGGAGCCCCGCGGGGTCTGGGGGCTGCCCTCCTGCTGCAGTGCCCCCTTGTCCGCACCCAGAGCCCGGCGGGGAGGACCTGGAGAGCCTGCTGCGGAGCCTGCGGCAGGGCGGGGTGTCCCTGACGGGGCAGCAGCGGCGGGCGCTGACCCAGGAGCAGTGCCGAAAATCCTTCCTGCGGCGCAACAGGAACCCGCACATCAACGAGCGGGTGCACGCCGTGCGGGCCCTGCAGAGCACGCTCAAGGTGAGACCCCCCCAGCCCTCCCGCTGCCCTCTGCCCGCGGCTGGTCCCCCCACCTCCCAAATTTACCTTGCTGCGGGCAGGCGAAGCTGGCGGAGCTGCAGGCCCTGGAGCAGCTGCTGGGAGAGGCCGAGCTCACCTCGGACACCTTCAGGCGCTGGAAGGAGGAGCACCAGGAGCTGTACCAGGAGCTCAGGGAGGGCTGGGCAGGGCAGCAGGGCGCTGGAGAGGCAGCCGAGCCCTGACACCGCGCAGGACTCGGGGGGTGCTCTGTGCTGGGGGCCCGAACGCCTTTGGGAAGGCTCAGCCTCCAGAGGGGCCACCCCTCTCCTTAGTTTTAAGTGAGTCTTAATTTTTCCTTGCCTTGGCTGCAGCTGGGCGAGGAGGGGATTTTCAGCGCCCCAGCCAGGGGCTCTTCTGCTGTAAATAAACGTGTTGACCGGGCCTGGTCCTGACGTGGTTTTTCTTGGCGGTGAAATCACCAAATCGTGGAATTGTTTAGGCTGGAAGAGACCTCCAAGATCTAAACCTGGCATTGACTGCCGCCTTCACCACTAAACCGCGTCCCCAAGCGTCCACATCCGCGTTTTTTAAACACTCCCAGGGATGGTGACTCAACCAGCGCCCCGGGCAGCCGGTGCCAGTGCTTGACCACCTCTTCCAGGGAGAAATCCCTCCTGAATTCCAACCTCACCCTCCCCTGGTGCAGCCTGAGGCGGTTTCCTCCTGTCCTGTGGGGTCTCCCCCGGTGCAGCCTGAGCCCCTGGTGCAGCCTGACCCTCTCCGGGCAGGGGCTGTGGGGTCTCCCCCGGTGCAGCCTGAGGCGGTTTCTTGCCCTGTCCCTCTCCGGGCAGGGGCTGTGGGGTCTCCCCCGGTGCAGCCTGAGGCGGTTTCCCCTGTCCTGCCGCTCTCCGGGCAGGGGCTGAGGCGATGGACAGGCGCCCCCCGCTCCCCCATTTCCCCAAGCAGAGCCCCCTCAGCGCCCGCCCTACGGGTGCCGCCCGCGGCCACTCTTCCCCCGCCAGAGCCCTCCGCGGCGGGGGCGGGGACACCTCTCAGGCGAGCCAATGAGGCACCACGAGGGGCGTGGCCGGAGTGTTTGATTGGTTCATATTCAATGAAGCCCCGCCCTCTGCGCTCTGCCACGCCCCCGCCGGCGGAGGTAACGGTCGCGGCGCGCGGGGGTGGCGGGAGAGGCGCGGCGGCGGCGGCGGCAGGTGAGGGAGCGAGCCCGGTACCGACACCGACACCGACACCGGCCCTGAAGTGCACCCACACGGTACCGGCACCGCCACCGCGCACCGGCAGCGCCGCCGCCCCGCCGGCACCGCAGCGCGCACCCTCCAGCCCGTCGGGGACCGGTCTCCCCGCTCCTCGTGGCCTCCCCCTCAGGGACCGGGCCCCGCTCCCCCTCAGGGACCGGGCCCACAGGGCCGGCACCCCCTCCCCGCCGCCTCTCCATCAGGGGCTGAGCCCCCAGCCCCTCAGGATCTCCCCACCCCACCCTCAAGGGGTACCTCCATCCCGTCAGAAAATCTCCTCAAATTGTATCTGCCTGAATTAATCACATCTGAATTAATCACATCTGAATTAATCACATCTGAATTAATCGTAACGAGCGCTGCGTTTATGTAGAAGCTTCTCATTTCCTTGCTGAGCAAAATGCTGTTTGTGGTGCTGGGTTGCCAGTGTTTCTGCTGGGTTGTAGCATCTGTGTGTATGAATGTTTTCTAGGAATTAATGTTTCCTCTGAGCTCTTTGAATCAGTTTAGCAAAAATCTCTGACAGCTGCTGGGTGAGGCTTGAGTGTGGGTTTGTAGAGGCCTTGAATTTCCAGTGTGTAGATGTAAATTTAATTATCAGAGACAGGAAATTCGCTGTCTGAAGCACTCAGAGAAATAGATAAATTAAGCCAAAACTCTGGGCAGATAAAGATTTGCTATTCGTGGCACAGAAAGGCTGATTTTTGAAGGACTTTTTTCCTCATGTAGTTGCTCAGTGACCTCTACAGAGGGCAGAAATGATCTCGTTGAGAGTTAAGACTTTTAAAGAGAAATTTTTAGTCTCTGTAGAGACTAAAGTTTTTGGGGTTTTTAAGTGTTTTTTGGTTTTTTTAAGTGTTGCTGCAGGAAAAAACAGATATTATTGGGAGAAGAAGCTAATTAAATATTAAATGCTGTGTTACTCTGATGAGTAGCTGCTATGTGTGCCCCCTTTGCTTGGTTAGTGGGAGCAGGGTGTGGATTACCCTCACTTAAAATAAGATTTTTATTAATTTATCCAGTTCTCTAGATAGATGAGATGGCTGCTCGTGAGAAAGACCCAGACCTGAGGCTCCTGCAGAAGAATCCATTGGGTAAGGACAGTCCTTTCTCCAAAGCCCTGCTGCTGTCAGATCCTGTTTCACTTTCTCTGAGGAGACAAATGGCCCTCAGAAGTTTCTCTACCAGAACCTTTTTGTTCAAAAAAAGTCTTATTTTCTACCCTTGCCTGCTTTTTCAGCAGTCATTTGGTAGGGAATTTCTCCCTTAAGCTGCTAGCTGATGGATCTGGGAGAGTTCTTTAGAGTTAATGCAAAAATTCCTCTTTGACTTGCCCAGTTTTGCTGTGCTGCTGCTCTTTTGAGTCAGAGCACCAGCTGGGTGTAACACGACCAAACTGATCAATGGGAATACAATTTACAGCTTCTGCAGTCTGACTTCCTTACCAAGATTGCTTTTTCAGTCTCCTGTTGATATTATTTCACTTCCCTGTGCTTCCTGCCATTTCCTTTAGCCAAAGACATTTTTTAACAGGGACGCAGGGAGCGAAGCAAGGACCAGGTGGGGTTTGGAAGCACTGCTAATTACATCTAGCTTAATCAAAGCATAAACACCCCTGTTTTTCCTCTGCAGACCCCAGCACGTGTCAGAAGAGCAGGTTCCTGGAGAGTGAGTGGAAGGCAGCCATGGTGTCCCTGCGGTCCCTGAGCCGCTGTCCCAGCGTGGCCGAGAGCGGGGACGGGGGCATTGGCACCTCCTGCTCCGACAGCACCGAGGGTGAGGGGCACTGCTGGCTCACTGTGGGGGGCACAGCCTGGCACACTGTCTGCAGCATTCCAGACCCAGCTGTCTGGAATGTCACCAGGTGACGAGGACACTGGCTGTGTCTCTGAGCTTGGGTATTGTCTCACTGCAGGGCTTTGAGATGACTAAAAGCCACCTTGGTGCCTTGCTGGTTCTTGCTGTCCAGTGAGAGATTTATCAGCAAGTCTGTTGGGTGATTTTAAATTATTTTTTTTTTTAAGGAAATAATTTGCCTTTGTGCTTGGCAGTGTTGGAGCTGAGAACTCTGCAGCCTGGCCTTCAGCTGAGGCACACTCTGAAATTTCTGGTCTCAGCAATCCTTTCCACCTATTTTTTTTTCACCTTTATTGATTGTTTTTTCAGTAATGAGGGACTTTGTGGTGTTCCTTAACACACTTCACACATCCCTGTGTTCCAGGGAGCCTTTGCAATGAGATTGAGGTTTGGAATGATTACTAAGATTGTAGATCTCAATAATGTGCCAGTGAAATGGAGGCTTTAGCAGGCCTGGCTGTTGGAAATATTGCTAGAAATCCTACACGAGCACATGTTTAAGTGTTCCATCAGGCCTCTCTCAGGATGATAAAACACCATTTGGCAGCTGGAGATGATTTCCTTTGGGAAATGACCCTTCTGGGCCCTGGTGATGTCACGGCCGTGTTGTAAGAGCCGAGGGTGACCCGCAGGCCTGGCTGCTGCTGGGGCACGCTGAGCTCAGTACATTAGCCAGAAATGTTGTTGTGAGGACCCCGAGCACACTCAGGAGCTGATTGCAGCACCCCCACGTGATGTGCTGGTCAGGGAACTCGGGTTCCTGGCACTGACACCAGGGCATAAATTTAGGGGCTGTAAAAGGTGCTGTCTCCTCGCTCTGCCAAGGTGAACGTGCTTGCAGCTGCCCAGTAGCATGGTGTTCTCTGGAGTCCCCAGGCACTGAGATTTTCTGCCCTCACTGCTCATTTGTGATGAAAGGATCGAGTGCCTTTATTGTGACAGTTCTCCTGTGGCGTGGTTTTGGTCTTTGCAGAGTCTGATTTGGGCTGTATTCAAATTGCAGTGTTTATTCCTTGTTGCAGCAGTGCTGGGAGGGTACAAACAGGTGGGAGGATGCTTGTTGGAGCATCACGTGGGGATGGGCCTTTGGCCAAAGCCATGAGGAAATCAAGTGCGTGTTCCTGGGGGAAACCTGGATTTCCTGCGACACAGAACGTCTCAGGACAAGGAGTGGGAACAAGCACTTTGCTGTTTGCCTTTCTCAGCCCTTGCTGTTTCTGTATTGAAATCTGAGAGCTGCTAAGAATAACCCCGAGCTCCCTGCAGCCAGGTTTGGTGCCCTGCTGGCAGGACGGCAGCTCTGTCTCACTTCCTGTGGCCCTAGGTGAGAGCCATTGCTCCAGCTCTGGGACAGGCTCTTGCCGTGGTGTCCAGGAGGAGCTGGAAGGTCAGATCCTCGGGGTCAGCGATGCTGGAGGCTCATCATGGGCTCAGGGGAGGCTCCTGGTAGCTCTGCTCACGCTTTGGAGTCGCTGAGCTGCGGGACGGGCAGAGCAGGATCGCGGGCTCAGTGCTCAGATCAGTAAGTTTCAGCCTTTTTATTCAGAATCAAGGACTTGATTTCTAAACCTAGAGAAAGGTAACACTATTGATTCAAGGTTATGCTAGAGTAGATTAAAAATATGGATTAAAAATAGGGGTTAAACTCGGAATATTCCTGTGGCGGTAGGAAAAGGTCAGCAGTTCCTGAAACTTGTAGTGAGGGGGAACACAAGTGTGCCTGAGTCATGCTGCTGCTGCTGCTTAGGAGGACATGTTCAGTGGGAAAGGAACTGGTTTTAAGATCATTTTGGAAAGCCCACTGGGGGATTGTATTTTCAGGACCGTAATTAGATGATCACTCTTCTTCTTCCCCTAGACTTTTGCAACTCCAGTAGCGGTTCCTCATTCCATCCCATCAAAACCCAGGTGACCATTCCAACAGCCCACGTTATGCCTTCCACGCTGGGTGCCTCACCCTCCAAGCTGTGCCCTGCAGGGGACCAGGGCTGTTCCCAGAGCTCTGCACATCCTGCTGGGCCAGGCTCTGCCCCTGACCGCCCGGGGCTCGCCAGGAACGGGGACCTGAACGCCGGGAATTCCTCTCAGGTGCCCCCCAGGGACCTCCTGCGTCTCTACAGGGCTCCAGGGGACAATGGCTGCGAGCACGCCTGGCCTCCTGCCACCAGGACAGAAGGCACCTGGAAGTTTGACACCCCTGCCATGGAGCAGACCCTTAACCAGTCTCTCTTCCTGGACAGCGTGTGCACTGACCCTCTGCACAGGTGCCAGAAGTTCAACCCCAGCTCTGAGGCAGGCAAGGACCATTACAAGGTGCTGCCAGAG